ACGTTAGAGACTCAACATATGACCTTGGTAATGATCAAAACACTGAAGAGTTTCAATAAAATTATATTTTAAAATTGTTTTATATTATATGTAATTTAAAGTATGTAAGTATCATTATTACATTAAACATTATAAGTAGATCATTGATTATTTCATCTATATCTCTAAAAGTTCATGTATTCAAGTTGGCCACAAAGTTTTATTGAGGGGCAGATTTTACTTGGGAAAATGGGAGTTCACCATATATTGAGGTACCTTTTATTTGGACATATTTGGTAAGCTGATGACACATCTCTCTAGCCCAGTTCTCCCTGCTAAACTCCAGATCCAAATAATGAACAGATTACTATTTCTATTTAAATATCCCATAGGCACTTTAAAGTTGTCCACAGTTAAACTCATATTTCCTCCCATCTTCTCCTCTTCCTTGTTCTCTTCCCAGTGAATGTCAGTGGCCTAAGCTGTCACCCATGTCTCCTATCACACACCCTTGTTGTTTCTACTTATTTCCTAAATCTCTTACCTATTCACTTCTCTTAATACCCCCTGCTTTATTCTAGCATATTTTCAACCTTTTTCATCTCATGGCATACATAAATTAATTACTAAAATTTGGGGGGCACCTTCTGGCCAGTTTAACTGAGTGGTTAGAGTATCAGTCTGCAGACCAAAGGGTCGTGGGATTGATTCCCGGTCAAGGGCACATACCTGCATTGCAGGTTCAATACTTGGCCCCAGTCTGGACATGGGAGAGGCAACCAATCAATGTGTTTCTCTCATATCAATATTTCTCTCTCTCTCTCTCCCCCTCCCTCCCTTCCACTCTATCTAAAAACCAATGGAAAAACATCCTTAGGTGAGAATCAACAACAACAACAAATTCTGGGGTACACCCAAAAACGTATTTTTTGTCTCTAACAAAAAAATAGGTATAATTTTCATTCATTCACATCAGACGGCTATGGTGTTGGCAATCTATGGGAAAAGAGATCAGTGCCCCTGACTAAATAGTCAGGTATTGCAAATTTTAAAAATTCTTGCAGCACACTGGTTGAAAATCACTGCTCTAAGGCCACCAACACCTCCTCTCCAAACTACCCTTAACAGAATCTGAACTGTTTTCTTGGTCTTGTCTCTTTTCAACCTATACTTCAGGAAGCAGACCAAGTGATCCTTCCAAAATGCAAATTAGTCCATTTAGAGACCATGACTGGTTCTCTAATTCGCCATTCCTCCTCCCTGCCCCTCCACCCCCAATTTAGTCAGGTTAGATACTCTTACAATATGTTCCCATACTCCTTATCTTTTCTTACCATACATTCCTCATACTTCTTTTGTTATAATTGTTTATCTTTCCTGCTAGACTGGGAACCATGTCTATCTGGCTCCCCATTGTGTCCTCCTAACACAGCGCAGGACTTGGGAAATAGTGCTTTATAAATATTAAATAAATGAGCCCTTGCTGGTTTGGCTCTGTGTTACAGCGTCGGCTGGTGGACTGAGAAGATTCATGGGTTCGATTCCCAGTCAAGGGCATGTACCTCAGTTGCAGGTTTTGTGTTTAAAAAATTTTTTTTCCTTTATTGATTTTAGAGAGAGAGGAAGTAAGAGGGAGAGAGAGAAACATCGATGAGAAAGAACATCGACTGGCCGCCTCCTGCATGCCCCTCATGGGGATCTGGCCCATAGCCTGGGCATGTGTCCTGACCGGGAATCAAACCCGCAACCTCTTGTACATGGGTTGATGCTCAACCACTGAGCCACACTGGCTGGACTCAGTTGCAGGTCTGATTCCAGTCTCCGTCAGGGTCGTGCAGGGTTCATGCATGAGGCAACCAATTGATGTGTCTCTCTCACATTGATGTTTCTCTCTCTCCCTTCCTCCCTCCCACTCTACCTAAAAATCAATTGAAAAATATCCTCAGGTGAGGATTAAAAAAATTGAATGAACCAATAATTTTATCCCAGCATCCCACACAATATCTGGCAAATAACAGGTCCTTGATAATATTTGTTGAATTAATAGATTGTTGTTGAACTAAGGATATGTGATTAAGCAAAGTGTAACAAGCAAAATTAATATTGTGTAGGCTTTATCTCTAAGGAGCACATATCCTTTTTAATCAGACTTAATCAGAGATGGCTCTCTAGAACAGGTGGCTTTTGGAAGACAAAGGAATACAAATTCTTACCAAGTGGAATGTAAAGGGCAAATGTAAAAATGTCAACATCTGTGCAGAAGAAAATCAGGTTTTTAGAACATGGGTAAATCCTAGTTAAAATGTGCTGTGACTAGGAAGTGTTCCATACTGGAATCAAATAGCTTTCTTCTCTACCTTGAACACTAGGATTCAGTCAGGAATCAGCTGTGGAATTTAATTACTGCCAGCAATTAAGCACTAAACTATAATGCCTCTCTGAAGTTGGAAATCATCATTTTACTATAGAGAATAAATTTTTGCCAAGTTATATATTCATACACACAATGGACAGCCTGTTTGATCTAAAAGTTTCATGCACTACTACTTGAACATGAGCTTCATGTTCTATTTAGATAAAAAAAGATGTTAATTTTACAAATGGCTTAATGTATCTTCACTGATTAATAGTTTAGACTACTTAAATACGTTAATTAGCAGTATAAATATGGACTGAGGTATTATTGTTGGGAGAATGAAAACGATAAGACGGCTAAGAAAATCTTTTCTCAGAGATACCTTACCAAATAAAGATTTAATGACTTCAAATGATGACTTTTAAAGGGAATGTTCACAATGTCAGTTATACTGAAATAACGTGAAGAATCTGAATTCAAGTGTGTGCCTGGGTTATTTTATTATCTTACTCTTGAACTGATATAAAATCTGTAACTTTTAATCAGGGGCTCCATCTATTATTGGTTTATTATAATGGGTTTGATTAAAATTGTGATTTAATCACGAGTCAGAAATATGATTTAGTCACCCTATTTTACAGAAAGTGCTTTAGAAATTTTTATTTCACCCTGATATGCACACTGTGCTGATAATGAGACAGTTCATAGAAGTCATACATGCAAGTCATTCTGATTATTTTATTAGCCACAGCTTATATTTTCAAACTTAGAGATAAACTTCATGTTAGAAGTCATATTATGTATTTTATAGTTTTAATATGATGAAATTTTTCCAGACTTAGAAAAGATATCCGATATTAACGCTTGCAAGGCAATTTAGTTTCCAAAGAACTTCTCTCATTAATTATCTCAGAAAATGAATAATGATGTGATTATTAAAGGTTAATTAAGCAAATACTTGTTAAGTAATTGGAAGGTAATCTATTTCTAATTTAACTGGTCAATCAGGGGTATTTAGGAAATATTTTTGCTGATTAACAACTAACCAAAACACAAAGATACTTAAATTGTTTCCCGAGTGAAAATCAAGAAGTGTATGTTTGCTCTTTTATGAGACAACTGTTTCAAAGAACTGGGATGAGGGCTCCTAATTCCATCATTTGATGATTTAAGAGCCTTGATGAGAATTCCGAGCTCTTCCCTCCCAATGTTAACGCAACCCTTATATTACTGCTTATTATGGCACTTCAGAATGAAAGAAAATATCTGAAGCAAGTAATTATGAGAAGACACAGGGATGTGGAAGTCAGAGAAATAGCCCTCTTCTGGTGGGAGGCTACCCATCTTGGTTATTGATTAGACAGACAGTGAATCAAAATCCAACTAATCAACAGTCAAAACATGATTTTCCAAGGGCATAACCATACAAAGAAATTTCCTTAAAATATTTTCCATGGGTGCAGCTTATAAATTTTTTGTCATCTACAGTGTAACGAACTACAAGCTGCTTTCTCCTAACTTTGGGTAGCCTGGGTGCTGTCTCCAGATTACCAAGTGGTTTAAAATCACATCCCTCTTGCTTTCCGTTTTCCGGCGAAAGATGTGATTTCCAGGTACGAAAATGAGAAGTGCCTGGCAAAGATAGAGGTAAAGGTTTGTTCCAGTCAGAGGATCAACCCTAGGAGTCCTGGGGTTCGGCCTGGGCCCCTGCACGAGCTGGAATGGTGGACACTGGGCACCTTTGTTTGTGCCCGGCTTCCTTGGCCCGGGGCCGAGTGACACGGGTGGGGACGCGGGTCCCGCGGCCGGGCGGGCCCCGGCACTATCCCCGGGAAGCGCGCGGCGAGGGCGGCCTGGCCGGGAAACGGGCGGTCAGTGGCGGTCCCCTCTCACGGGAGCCTCGCCAGGTTCCAACCAGAGTTCAGCGAGCTCGCTATTGTTTTTGGCGAGCATATAAATCCCCGCTCCGACCTTCGCGCACCCAGGTTTCCTCCCGGAGGCCAATCGGTTTCCTTTGAGGCCCTATATAGAGGCCCAGGGCCCGCGCTGCAGCGAGGTGAGCATCGGCTCCGGCCTCCCGGACAAGCCCGGGCTTGGAGCGCTTCTCGCCTCGGGTCACTGCACCCAGAGGCGTCCAGAAGGTGAGCAGGGGCAATTTCTTCTGGCGCCGAGGGTCTGGCGGAGACGGCGCACGCGAGGAGGATTCGCTTCTCCGGGGTTTCCCTGACGCCAGCAGTAGCGCCGGCGCGCGCCCGGAGCCCCGCGCCCGTCCGCAGCTCCGGGGAGAAGGGGGAGGGGAGCGGGCCCGCCAGGCGGCCGCTGGGATTGGAGCGGGGGCGGGCCGTGCGCGGAGCCGAGGGGTGCGGGCGAGGGAGGCGCGCGTGCGCGGGGGGTGTGCGCCCCGGTCCCCAGGCCCCTCCGCCCTCCTCCGTGGTCTCCGCCCCCCTCGCGCTGGTGTGTGGAGCGGGAGTCGGCGGCGGGTGGCGGCGCCTGGAACCTGGAGACCGACCCCCCCCCCCCACAGCCGGGAATGTACTGACTGCCCCCCGCTCTCCTTCCTCTCCGCCCCGCTGCAGGAGGGAGGCGTCCCCAAGTCTCCCCTCCCGCGAGAGGGGCCGCGCGGGCCGGGCCAGGCTGGAGCAGCGGCGGCGGCCGCTGGAGCCGATCTTGAAGCGGGCGACCGGCTGAGGCGCACCGGAGAGAAGGAGGCGAGGGCTCCACGGCACTACTGCCGCCGCCGCCGCCGCTCGCGGGCAAGAGATGGCGGCGGAGCGGGGAGCTCGGCGACTCCTCAGCACCTCCTCCTTTTGGCTCTGTTGCCTGCTGCTGCTCGGGCCCCGGGCGCCGGGCTCCGCGGCCGCCAGGAGCGGCTCCCCGCCGCAGTCAGGTAAGCGGCGGGCCGGGTGGGGGTGGGGTGGGGTGGGGTGGGGGCGGGGGCACCGCATCGGCCGCGGTTGCGGTGTTTTTGTTTAGGATTTGGGGGAAACGTGCAGGAACTTCTCTGCCTGCGCTCGGCTTGCAGAAGAGAAAGCGGGTCGCGCAGGGTGGGGAGTGAAATAGGCCGGCGGGGGCGCCCCCGCAGGTGGGGCGGCCGCGGGGTCCGGCAGGAGCTCCGGGGTCTAGTTCTGCGCTTTGTACCCGGAGGCAGGTTCACCCCTCGCCTTTCTCCCCTCCCCCAAGGCTCATCCCACTTGTAAGAGTGGGACATTCTTGTGCTCACACAAGCACCAGTAGAGGCCACTACACACCTCATTTAATAAACAATCGTACGTCCAATTCATTAATTTTCATGAAAGGAAGGGGGCGTGTGGGGGGGCTTGAACTCCGCCTTCCCTGGCCAGGGATTTCCAGGCTAGAAAAACGCTGGCTGATCTGGAGGGACTCCTGGGGGGGGGGGGGGGCGGGGGGCGGGTGTTGCAGCCTGAAGGCTGAGGAAGGAAGGGTGTCAGAGGGGCACAGTTACTCCCTCAGAACCAATGTGACTTATCGAAGAGGGCGCCTTGGAGAAAGGCTTCAAGTGGTTACATATCTGTTAGTGTTTCCGTTATGAAATGCTTCTTTCCTGGGGATTACAACTCTTATTTATAGTTTAACTGTTCTTAATCTAGGGAATTGTCTAAGCATCGGATTTTAAGTACTTGTACATTGTTTTCAGGTGGTAATATATAACTACATCTAGCCACAAAGCCATTTTTAGGGTTTTAACATATCACAGATTTTTGAAATCACCTACATTTCTGTTTATTTATGGGGGCCAATTAACAAAATGTTAACCTGCCTGTAAAGACCTTACAGTGTAATTGAGGAACAAGACACACTCAGCACTTGAAGGAGAAATTAGCATGTAATCTGTTTACATTGTTTGACCAAGGTGGTGTATCATTCAACTTGACAAAACTTTCACCTACTTGCTTGATCTGAACTTTTGCATTTTAAAGTCATCTGAACAGACCCAGTGACAACTTCTAGTCACTAAACCATTACTCCTCCAACCCCATTTATGTGAAATATTTAAAATCACACTGCAATGAACTTGGCTGATAAACTTTCTTTTGATTTTCTTGCAGAGTATAATTTAGCTGTGGTTTTTGCCAGTGTTAAAAGCTTTAACCCTGAAGCACCACTGGGTTTATTTAAACAGCAATGTAAACAAGAGTGTTTTAGTATCAAACTCACACTTGCGCATTCAGCCTAAATATGGTTTAGAATACACATTTTGGTCCTGAAATGTAGGTAACTGATCCAGTCCTTTCTATTCTTGTGGATGGCAAGATAATTTCTTTCTCACTCTTAATTTTATATGTAAAATATTATATGTAGTTCATCATATTATGTATGTTTTAGGTAATTGGAATTTCTGTTTAAAATTTTGTCAGTAATTTTGAAAGTAAGGTGCTAGTGATTTTATTATGTAAGTTAATAAAAGTAAGCAGTCTCCTAGGAAGTGGTTGTAACCTCTGTTTCACCATAAATTCAGTTGATGTGCACTCTGCCTTCATGGAGCTTATATTCTGCTGTGTAGGTAGGAAAGGTAGTCATTCAACTGCTATTTATATAGTTAAGTAGCCTGATAAGCACTGCAAAGAAGAATAGGTTTTGAGCAAGTTTGTACTGCGGCAACCTAGTCTGTGTGTCATTGTGTCTCAGAAGAAGTGAGGTCTGAAGGGTTAGTAGGAGTGGAGGTGAGGAGACTTCCAGTTAATTAATAGTCTAGTTGGGTCTAGAATACAGATATTCTGATTCTTGGTCCAGAGTGTTTTCCACAAACCATTCTTCCTAGTTACAGAACCTAAAGGAGAAACTGCAATAAGGAGGGGTTGGTCAGTTCTCTGGAAAATTGCAGAGAGATCAAGGAAATTGAGAACTAAGTTGCATATGGAAAAAGCTGTCAGTAAATCAGATGTCATTTTATTCATTTGTTTATTATTTTATAGAGGGATAGACTCAGAAACATTTCTGTAGGGCATTACAGTAAGTAGGTAGTAGGGGAATGGAGATATTTGGTAGTAAAAGGAGGAAAATAGGGTGTGGGACAACACAGTAAATGGAGTGTTTTTTCAACTTTAGGGCAGACTATAGACTTGAGGAGGTGGAGGAAAAAGGACTGATGATAGAAAATGGTCTGCAGTGGTTGAAAGATTGGAAATAATTAGGTACACAATCTGGTTTTAAGACAGAAGGAAGGCAGGTTACTGAAAGAATATGTGGCCCTGGCCGGTTTGGCTCAGCGGTTGGAGCGTCGGCCTGCGGTTCTGAGAGACCCGGGTTCGGTTCCCGCTAAGGGCGCGTACCTCGGTTGCAGTTTGTCCCCGGCCCTGGTCCCGCTAAGGGCGCGTACCTCGGTTGCAGTTTGTCCCCGGCCCTGGTCGGTCGTGCGGGTGGCAACCACTCGATGTGATCCTTTCACGTCGATGTTTCTCTCTCTCTCTCTGTTCCTCTCTCTCCCTCCCACTCTACCTGAACAAAAAAGGAAGAATGTCCTCGGGTGAGGATTAAAAAAAAAAAAAAAAGAAAGGATATGTGTAATGAGGTGTTTTGTAATCAGTGAAGGGGTTAAAGAATGGTAATGAGGTGGAATTGGGATGCAGGAATGAAGACGGTTAGGAAGACAAGGTTAAGAGTTTATTTGAAATCACTTTGGATTTTAGGTAGACTAGATCAGCTATTTCCACACTTTCTGTAGCAACATTTTGTAACCCAAGAGCAGAAGTTTTAATCCAATGTTGATTGCTTATTAGTTACATGAAGTAAGTAGAATTAAAAAAACAAACAAAACTTTTATTAGAATAACAAAATATCCCATTCATTGGTTAGATTGCAAAAGAGTATTTGAGGAAATATCATAGTGGTGTTGAGGCTAGCCATGACCTGGACTGCAGAGGTGTACTGCCTAGGTCATATAACTATACTTCTCATTTAAGGTAAGAATTCTCTTGTCAAGATCCTGCATAGATAACTATATCTGCCTTCATCATTTACTTGGTGATGTGATTCATTACCTTACAAGTCTATTTCTGGTTTGAATAACTTCTATTAGTAAACTTAGCTTTATGCAGTACATTTAACTTTAATTTTCACCTGCCCCACCCTTGAATTTTTTTCTCTTGCCTATCTCCTGATTCGTTTCTTTCTTTGACTAATTCTTCATTTGTTTTTCTTTCACCCCCTCATTAAATATTGATACCTAAAGTTGAGCTCATTATACAGTCTATTTGTCTTCAGTTACTCCCTTTGAGCTAATGACTCCTCTAGTTCACTCTTTTTCACATGCCACTCAGTAGCTTCACTAAATGGACACCTTACATTACACAAGACCAAAGGTAAATTCATCTTTGTTCCTCTTCCCTCCTGCTTCCTTCATCCTCTTTCTCCAGACTGGCCTAGGGTGCTCACATTGTTTGAATGAGTGCATGGATTTGTCTTCTTGTGTTACTTGCGCTGGATATCACTATTCACCAGTCAACCAAGTTGAGATCTAGAATTCACTTTGGATCCTACCCTTTCCCTCATTCTCATAACCAGTTGTTTGATTTTTACCTCCTAGATATTTCTTAAATCTGAATCTGTGTCTTTTTATCATCATTTCCACCTAGACTAATAATATTGGCTTCATAATTAATCTCTTTAACTCCACTGTTATTATTTAGAAGTCTGTCTTCCTTCTGGAATGAGCTTTCTTATATATTTTTCTGAGCCTGGCACTCCTACTTACAATCTCTTATTAGAGTTCCATAGCTTGAGTGTTAGAGCCTAAACTTCTCGGCATGGAGATTGTGAGGCCCTTTGTGTTCTTTATCACTGGCTTTCTGCACCCCCAATGTGTACCTGATATTCTAGGCACCTCTAATGTGTACCTGATATTTCACCACTCCTGATTGACTTCAGAGCCTCATGTCTTCATACTGCTCTTTCTTCCTGTTAATGCCACTCCCCACCTTGTCCACTTTTGAAACTCCTACTCATCTATTCAGTGAATTTTTCTCTGCTAGCTTGCTCCTCCAAATAATTAGAATCATCATTCTCTGTGTTCTCATAACTTTCTGAGTACTTTTCATCTTGTATCACTAATTTTCTTGTCTTCTCTACAAATCTGAACTTCCTGAGGATTTGGACTTCTCTTATTCACCTTTGTATGCCTAATGGAGCATAAGCATCTGGCACAGAGTCATTAACCAGTTAATGTCTATTGAACGAATGTTGAATTTCTTTTGGTTTTTATTGGCTTGGGCCATACAGCATGTCTGATTCCTTTATATGATGGCCCTTCATGTGTCTGATGACAAAATTTGTGTGTGCATGTGTTACTCTCATCTCCTTTCTAAATTAATCACCCTTAACTTCCTTTAGCCACTCCCTAGTTTTCTGATCCATTCATTGAGTTTGGTTATCCTACTTGGGATATACTGCAATTTTAGTGTTTATTTTGTCATCTTTGGAAAGATCATTGATGTTGCTAAGTCATCTGTATACAGGGACTTATGCCCTGCTCTGCCTGCCTAATAGGATGAGGTATAAAAGAGTTCATAGATTTCCAGGATGAATGCTCAAAGGAGTTATGAAAATTAATAATGTGATGTGAGATAGTAAATAGAGATGATATGGAGGCAGTGGATTTGGGATATAATTTACGGCTCTGCACCTTCTCATACAGTATCTTTTGAGGGTTGTCATAAGAATGACATGTAAAATTGCTTTTAAACTGTAAAGTGCAGTATCACTGTAGAATGGTTTTAACATTTCTTTACAAATTTTAAAATATACTCTTTTGAAAAAGTAATTTTTTCTCTTGGCTTAATTGTTCATTGTTGGTTTCTCTTTATGAGTTTTCTCTATGCTAATAAAAATATTAGTGTAACATTAATCTCATGTGGAGGTTCTTTTTATCAT